GCTGATGCAGAAGCAATCACTCAGGAGGAGGATGAGAGCAAACTTTCTACAGCCAAAAAATCCTCGAGGAGGTTGAGTTTCCGTACAATGGGAAAGGTCATGATGTCCAAGAGGTACCTAACCATCCAGCAGAGGACGACTCTAGGCGTGAGGTTGAAAGTCCATCCCGTGCTGAAATCGGCCATGACAAATAAAAGCATCAAGGCGAACCTGTCGATCAACGACGACGAGTCGGATTCGGGAAATGAGGCCGTGACGTCACTGACCCCAAAGACAGACGCCAGCGTCAGCTCCAAAATAATCAAAAGCTGGCGACAGGATTCCGAATTGGACAAACCTCCCGTGCTCGAGGACGATCTTAAACAACTCCAGAAGCATCTTGCAGCCTCTCACCTCTCGCGGGAACGTGAGCTAGAACGCTTGCAGATGCAGCAGGAGGTCAACCACTTGATGGTCATCGACGAGGACAGGAGACAGCGGGTCATGTCAAAGGTCCGGCTATTCATCTCGATTTTGGAAGACTATAGACGCAGGGACAGGCAAGAGCAACGAAGGTTGGATGTGTTTGGAGGGCCATCCAGGAATCCGGTAGTTCAGAGATGGAAAGATGCTGCCAAGGGATTAATTAGAAAAAGGTAAAAACACAAAACCGATGACAACAGAAATTGCAAACAGTAATATGAGACTCTGTGTTTAAAACTTCATTTCCAACCTTGTACCCAAAATTATGTTGGTTGAGACTACTTCAAACACTGTGACTGGGTGTTCTGAACAGGTCATATGTTAAAGTGCATTTTTATGGACAGAAGATATGAATTCAGCAACAGACACTTTGAGTCTTTCGACGCGTCTTGCCATCCTACTCTAACAACTGATGTGTTGTCAGTCTGCTTTGGGGTGAGCAGGCTGTGGAGCTGCTTGTAGACTGTTTCTCACGTTCATCCCCGAGCACCGTTCATTCACGGACCAAACAAAAGAGCGATGGTGCCTCACATACTGTTTTTATTGGCAGGTATTTCGAAAGAGGATTCTTCCTAAGCTTATGCAGTCCGTGACAGTCTTGTTTGACCCCAGCGATAATTCTATAGCTGGAAAAGTAGTCCTACCTTAAAAAGCAGAACCCGACAATAGAATAAAATAGAACTGGGGAAAACTTCTTTTGAAATCATTCTATTGTGGCTTCTGGAGGAACCATTATAATAAATACAAATAGATGTATAAATAAAAAATGAAAATTGTGACCAAGCGGTAAATTCTTGTTAAAAAAATATTTAAATGAAACGTCATCGTATCAGTTATGATTTCACGGCATGCTTTAAAGATTTGCAGTTTGGGGGATATTGGTTTATTGCCGAATTGGTCATTGGATTAGTGTTTTAGTGAACGCTGAAGAGAGCCATACAATTTTCGTCGTTGCTAATCTTTATGTACATACAAGCACATGTCCTGTGACGTCAGAATTACCCATGCAAAACAAGTTTCTCACGGGAACGAGCAATCATATGCATTTCACAATTCAATGTTGATCTTAATTAAGAGCTCATGTATTTTCCCATGGAACCTTCTCCTTTGTTTTTCATAATGATATTTTTATTTCCACGTTCCACTACATCCCTCAGCATAGCCCATCCAGAGCGACGCTCTGTTTCGATTATTATTCATCGTTGTGATAGCTTACACTTCTCCTCTGCCTTTTTGTGGGTTCTCAGTGTTAAATTTTCACTAAAATTATGCCCGCTCGTATTTTTGGTGACACCATTAATTTTGATGTGCCCCTTTTAAATGCCGGATCCCGCCTACGGATCAGGGTGTTTCAGGGTATATTATTTTCCACATCGTGAGTAAACAGTTGCATCCTACTATAATCTCCTCCCCTTCAGAAGCAGATCCCCTAGGCTGCCTTCCCCCTTCCCCTTTGTCAATTCTCAGTTTGTGTTCCTCAGATAATGTGTGCGGTATTAAATTCTTCATTTGAACCTTCTTATTGCTCTACTGGGATGGACCACAGGCATTATGTCCGTGGGATGCACAGTTTATAAACAGCGCCCTCAGGTGTCATGTCAAATGCGTTTCATTATGTTCCTGCAAATGAGAGACATCGCCTCTGCTCGAACGCACCCACGCCCTCACCTGATTTAGGAATGGGCTGATGTTTCTTCAGGATATATAACGAAATTTTTTTGAGCCTGATCCAGATAGGAAAAGTTTGAACAGTGACGCGGGTCAATACTATGAAAAGTGACTGGCAGCGATTGTTACTGCAGTCGTAGCTGCTGAAGTGTAAATATAGGAGTCGAATTTGAGAAAGAGGATGGGATGTTTGCCGATTATTTCAGGAGTGTGAATCGTCTGTTACCACACATTGAGGGAAGGCAGGTGTCGCCAGAGTATTTTTAGGCATAGCACGCACACGTTCGTCGGTATAATCATAGTTGTTGAAAAGTAAAGATCAATTGGAGTTCATAATACAGAGAATTTTTTTCTTTTTAAATGTAATGCATGTTGGAGTATCTGCCGAGAAAAGCGATATCTACACGCCCACATTTGTGATTATTGAAGACACTACTCGAACGTTAACGGGACAGATTATCAAAGCGTCGAACGATTTTGGAAAATTTTGGAAACGGAAAGAATTCCAACCCCCCCCCTTTTAAGTCATGTAACCTGGCGTCTACCAGACTTGAGATGTCTCTTGAATTAGTCTTAATCTTTTAGTCTGGGAGTGAGACTACCCACCCATAGCCTTGTGTATGGAGTCGGCAGGGACAAAAAAAATAACTCTGCTTTCTTCTATTTGCCAGGAGCACTGCAGTCAAAAGAGGGCGCGCTTTATTAGGGACTCGGATAATCTGGTGGCCAAGCCACATGAGCGGTCAAGGAAGTCAAAAGGGATGACTTGTAATGCTTTTAATTAGTCCAAATAGGTCATTGAAGCAACTGGGAGCTGTCTTACCATGCTGATTACAAAAGTAATACAAAGGCTCTATCTCCATTGTACATGTATTTGGCGCGGTAAGATGAATGCCAGTGGCTTCAATCGACACGTACAAGAGTACTGGGAGTCAGCTGAGACTCGTAATTTGAAAATCCACGGAATTGTCCGAAGCTATCCCGTTTCAAACTTTTGGATACGAAGCCTTGCCACCCGGACCGTTTCCAGATCACTGGAAATATCGACAGAAATGGCAATGTGATATCAATAAATTTACCTGTGTTCTAATCGTGCTGCAGGTTAAATCGAACGTAAACGGTTAATTGACTGTAATAGTTGCAGACTATGGACTTCGAGTTAAATTAAGACCCAAAGCGAACTAGTTTTAGAGGGCGCTATATGCTCAGGCTGCGATGTGAAGAAAACAAGCCTTGGTCTGGTATGGCTTTCGTCATGTACTTGGCATTTTACCAAGAAGCCTTTCAGGGAGTGAGCTATAGCCTAAAGTGTGAGTGCCCAGAAAATTGCTGAGGATTAAAGGGCTTAGCATGCTATTTTATCACTCGGATGATTTTTAACGAGCAATCTAATGAATACCTCATTTCACTGAAAGTTTTCAGTTGACTGCGGGCAGGGTTTTTTCCCCAGAAATGGACCTTCGAAGACTATTTTGCTTATATGCGTTGTGATTCACGTACTGCAAGAGATGTCGGAAGTGGTATATTTGATTGGATTAACTGCAACATTTACAAGAACTCGTCACCGCATATTCACCAGTTCATATAATGATGAGATGTGCCAGTTTCAGACCAAATTTTATTTTCTTAACAAAACAAGCGTGCAAATTTCTCAAAGAAATTTTGTCTCCTCCTAAAATCACATGGCCATGTGTTTTTTTTTTCACGTGCCTACGTGAAAACTATCACGTTCGTAGGTGAAACAAACGTGTGCTCGAAACTATAAATGAAAATATTTCTGTGTGTGGCAGTGTCATGTGTATGTCAAATAGCAGGTGTAGATTTTCCATACTTGTATTTAAATAACTGAACGTCCATTAATTGTGAAGAACAGTGTAAGGAACATTTTCAGATAAACAAATATCCAAAGGCATTGCGGAAGGCTCAGGATACATAGACTTGGATAAACAAGTTCGAGATTTTGTCTTTAAAACTACTTTGCTGAAAAAAGAGGGTCAAGGTATTTTTTCTTGAGCAAACAAAATTATCTGCAAGGCCGTTTTACACCAAGGTAGTGACGCCACCAAACTGCTACCTGGTTATCCCCGTATCTTTTCATACCCTTCTCAGACAAAAAAAAGAGTACGCACGTGCAAGGGCTTTGTAAACGATTTGCAAGGTCACCTAGGTGGAGCGCTGCGATTGGTCGGCTGTGTTTCCTCCACACGCGACTGATTATGATTAAGCCAATAGGGGCGGTGCCTACCAGGTCACTGCTTTATTTATACCTGTATTAGCGATGCCTGTAACAATGAAGTTCACAGAAGATCTGCCAATCTCAAAATATTCGTGTATGTCCAAAATGCACTTCATATTTCAAACAAACCAGTGAATTTATAAAGTTTTGTGGTGTAATTTGTTTGACAAAAATGACTTGCTGTTTACCAGAGGATGTGTATTCACTTTATTTATGTAGCAGATGTTTTAGAAATTTTCCGAACTTCGCCGGTACGAGTTAAAAGTATGTGCTCCAGTGATTGTACGGTATACAAAGGCAGTTACAGCGTAAGGATGGGTAGGACTGAAACTGTGTGATTGGGAACCAGACGATGAACGACAAAGTTCCTAGAAAGTCGGTGAAGTTAACGGTGGCCGGCAGAAATTCTCTATGCCTCGACAGCAAAAACTGCAGGGACTGTATAGAAAGACCAGACCTCGCTGAGTTGTGGCTAATTAAGTGCACATACCGCCGAGTTACCGGTGAATGAATACATTTTAAAGGTGTGTCAAAAGAAAGTGAACAATGCCGCTGGTAACAATAGCCCCCTTTTGTACCCAAGATTTGATAAATCCTTGGGCCCAGGCGACCTGCCTGGCTGGGTGAGTATTATGTGCTTGGGTACCCTCACCTTACCATGGGCTCTGTTCTAGTGGCTGTTCAATCACCAGTGGCAATGTCGGGCCCACGTGAGCGCCCCGTGAGTGACACTTTGGGGAACTTTGGCGGTCCCCAAATTTAGATAAACATCCCTTTGTGGCTCGGCCAGGAGTAATCCCACTGGCGAATTGCCATTCATATGCAAATAACTCACGCGACAGGACGCGACAAGACTTTAATGAGCTTCAAGTTCTATTCAAGCCGCACGAGCGTATCGTGGAGGGGTGCACGGTGTTCCATATAGGGGTGCAAGTGGGTGGGACTTATTTCGGCAGGGAGCGCCATCAAACTATATAGGCAACGAGTTATCCCCTTGTGGGCCAAACTGATTCACCCGTACACTCTTCCCGGACCAGACTGGACCCCCAGACCAACTTTTTCGCCAAACTTTTTGACAAATTCTTTCTTCGGAAGTCGATCAGTTTTTCCGAACTCAGAACTTTTGGGCACAGAGTCCGAGCACCATGGAAAACTCGCAGAAAATTCTCCAACAGGCCGTTCAACAGCTGGTGAACGAAGTCAGCTCGACACTGCCGAAGCGCGTCACAAAGAGGCGGCTGGACCGATCGGACCCGTCCCAGCCCGAGCTCGTGCGCTGCAAGCGGCGAATTCACTTCAACTATTTGCAGCAAACTCCACCGGTGGCCGTCGCCCGGCGGAACGAGCGGGAGCGGAACAGAGTCAAGCTGGTCAACCTGGGCTTCGCAAGCCTCCGCCAGCAGCTGCCCAACGGCGCGGCCAACAAGAAGATGAGCAAAGTGGAGACACTGCGCTCGGCCGTGGACTATATCAAACAGCTCCAGGAGCTTTTGGACGAGACCGACGCGGTGAACGCCGTGTTCAACGGCTCGCTCTCGCCTACCTGCTCGCTGACAAGCAGCTCCCCCTCCCCAAGCTATTCCCCTGAGTCTTCGGGAAGTGAGGTGCTCACCCCGGAAGAAGAAGAACTTGTCAATTTCACAGACTGGTTTACAATGGCTTGATCTTGCTCAGAAGTGTCTTGATGTACATGTGTACAATACTGGGTAAGTATTGATATCTTTGCGTTTTGTATGATTATGCTTGATAGTGCAATGTAGGCTACTTAAAAAAAATTCTAAAATGGATACCCCCGAAGATGTGGGGCTGAGTATTACCCCTTAGAATTTCAACGTTAAAAAAAATTAGGAAATTGGAATTTGCTTCAATTAATTAATTAATTTATTTATTAAAATCTTTAAATACAAGACCATCCTGTGAGTCAATCAAACCGGCAATTATGATATGTTAAAGCAGAATGAACGTTACACAAACGATTTTGCAGATGAAAAATTTAAAATTTCAGAGATTTTGGCGGTTGATGACACATGCACATTTTCTCCATTGGCGCAAATGTGCCTTTTTTCGTTTAGCTAGCAGATCTATTTCATATACTTTACTGAATTTCCTGTTACAAAATTTAGCCTTATGTAATGTTTAATAGCCCGTCGCCACCACTAAAGGATTCATAGTTGCACGAAGCTGACATAATCTGGGAAAGGAGCCCGGCTCACAACCGGGCAGATGTGAAACAAACGGCACGAGCGTATAATTTTATTACCTCTGCCCAACAGTCAATCTTAATAAAACTGTCTTTATATCGCCGGGTTTTTCACGTTGTGTAAAGCTGTGGTTAACACCTCTCCATGAGCAGAATCTGGATCCACGTGTGCAAATGTTGCCGGTAGTTATTAAATCAAAATTCATACTTTCTGGCCCCTGGCCTAGCGCGTGCGGTTGGCTGCCGCCATGGGTCATAAAAATGAATTTGACGGTAGGCACTCGATGCCTTGTTCCGCACAAATGTCAGTTGCGGTCGTGAAACTTTGAACACAAGGCAGGCGGCAAATTATCTTGTGTTTTTGGAAAAAAATGATAATTTCTTGTCTTAAAACATGGTTGATTGGAATTGTAAATGGCACTCTCACCTGTAATTAGGTACACAAAGATGGGATACCGCTTTTTTTCTAAAAAGAAATTAACTTATCTTCATCATCAGTGCAGTGCAACTCAACTGATTTAGACTTTTCAGGGACCTTTGCATGACAAGATGTCATTTTAAATTGTTTAAACGTCTACCTTCATCCAAAATTTTGTCGTATGGTGTATCTGTTTTGTTACTTTAGCGATTGACGTATTTTAATTATCGGTCAAGATTTGTTTTTTGTACGAGCATAAATCCCATTAGGCCATGTGATTTTTCACATTCATTAAACAAATCATCAAATTCATTGTCAAAATAGTTTCACACCTATTTTAGATTTTCGAATAAGTTGTGAGCGCGGTTTCCTACCGAGTACATATATGTTTGTTGAGACACATGCGTTTTGAAACCAAGAAGTCCCAAAAGAAAGATTTGTTTTAGGTTTGCATCAAAGTTTCTTTTGTATAATGCAATTGTAAATGATGTCTTTTTAGTCATATTTCATTTTTACTGCACTTTTTCGGGAAAAAAGTTTACAGCAGCTTTATTGGTGCTGTAATGTCGAATCGATACCCATGTCTTTGTTCTGTGCTTCGTCCGTTTTGGACGTTGACTTTCCACTCGATGAAGCTCACCCCTTGCCCGCCAATTTCTGCCAATCAAGTTTCTCATTTACTTACCCAGACAGTTTCCTTCTCTTGTTTCCTTCAGGAGAGGGCGTGACCCGCAGGAGATATGACCAATGAGATCCCTCGACGTCTTGCGTCAGGCGCACCGGTCTGCCAATCACAGCGGACTGGGCAGGAGGGACCGGCGAGGACAACACGATGGCCAAGCCAAAGCGAACAAATCCTTCCACCGCACGGGAAACGGCCGCTTCGAACAAAGAAAATCCACCGGGAGCGCGTGGAATGAATCACGGGGCCTGCGTGGTGCAATACACCGCTCATGATTGTGCTGGTATCAACGGGCAGGCACGGCAGACGGAGCTCAAGATATTGACATGTACATGTATGCACCGCTTCCTTTTTTTCGTAACAGAAAAAAGGCTAATTTTTAGTGTAAGATTTTCTAAAAAGGGACTCCAAATTAATTCTCTCTTCAGCTCCTTCGTTTGTGTCACGCGTTTCTACCAAATTTTTCTGTAATTATAGGCTTAAGACATGATGGAATAAAATACGAGGGAGAACAAGATTGGGACAAACCTTACTAGAGTTTTATTTGGGCGAATCTTACTTAACTCATTCCATTCCACAAGCCCTCAAGAAACTGTGCGTCTCTACAACTATTTACCGGTGTAATTCCTTTTTGTAAAAAAGTGGACAATTTATGAAGTGCCTGTTGCTTGCATTTTCTGCGTGCCTTCCAATGTTTGTAGATATCCTGAAGATTGTAAAAATATTATTTTGTACAGAGAGAGAGAGAGACAGCCTCGTTACTGCAAGAGAAATTCTTAATCGTATTGTTTTCTATCTGTATCGCAAGTAATAGAAAAGTTCTTGATTTTACCATATGTTTAGAGGAACTATGGTCACATTAGCCGCTGTATCAGCATTTAAAGACACTGTAGTGTACCTTTATTTAGCCTTCACATTTCCGTTTGAAAAAGCATTGCTTCGTGAAATATTTTTCTATAATACAAATAATATATTTGTGATTTCTAAGTTCTAAATTCCCATTTTTTCGTTTTTAGAAATAATCTGTTCATTTGTTGATTGAAGCCATTCATCAGGAATGGAGAAATTTGATTTCTGAACTGCCATCATAAGCTTTTGCTGTATTCTAGGTTTTTGTACCTGTTCTAACCAAAATTGTTCTAGACTGAGGGATCAGTTTTGCTTAATTTGGTGAACACTAGGGAACTATTTAGACATTGGTGCTTGACCAGTGAGTGTGCTATCCATAAGTATATTATAATTATGCTGCTGTTCACTGGGGTATTCGCTTTGACTTCTTTCACCTATGTTCAGGTTTGGGGGAATTCTTAATTTCATTTTACCGGTTAAGATGTAGGATACTGCGTTGATGTGTCATGAGCACTTTCTAGCCTACCGAGATATGCTTGCTTGTTACGATGTTGCTCCTCGATATCCTGAATATTCATGAGATATTACTGCAAGACTTGATTTGAGGTTTTTAACGAAAAATAGAAGAGAACACGAAATGAATGGTTTTCGCCAAACTTCTACGAATGACTTGTTGCAAAACAAAAGGGTTCCACCGCGGTTTGACCAATTCTTGGCGATGAATTGCAAAGGAAGTGCGCTGTGTGGTAAAAATGTCTGGTGTGCGTTGTTAAACGCGATTGTCACAGTCAAAACTGAAAGTTTATTTTTGTACCTGGCTCTGACAAAGCCAGCTTGGCTGGTCGAGTCAGGGCCCTTTGCCGGCCATCCATTGTACATTTTATGGAATTTGGCCCGAGGAAGGTCGTGTAAATATAATTCTTGTTTTCTACGACAATTTTGCAGAGAGTTTTAATAACGAAGAATAAATGGCAAGTTTACTTATTGATTGTGTGGTAACATCATTGTTCTCTTCGTTTGTCTGTTTAAGAGAATGTCTAAAGGTGCTTTCGGGAAAATTATTCTTTAAAGGGTTTTATACAAAAGTAATCAAAAGGACACCGTACTATGTGTAACCACAACTTCAAACAAATCAAATTTGCAGAAAATTTGTCAGAAAACTGCCTGTGAGAAGATGACTTCTGAATCTTCTGTTCAATTGCTGTGAGACACAGAGTGGTCCATTCACAGAACAAAACAAATTCTTCGGTTAAAAATTGGGAAAGTTTACGGAACTTCTGTTTTTTTCTTTATAGCTTTTTTAAGAGTGGGTCCCGATCCTGCATTTTGATGAATGATTAAACAAAAGTTAGGAAAATTGTGACAGAAAGTACAATTACATAAACAGAAAACCTAAGGAAATAAAAAATATAATCTCAGAACGAAAAGATTACACGAATAAAATGTTTCTAAAAACATACTAATATAAATAACATCACCTCCTGAAACACTCTTAAACTGTAAAAACATGCAGACATCCCAATACTACCCCTAATTTCTATCTCGAAAGGACACTTGTTTGTAAATATTCAGCTCGTGAGGAAACCGTCAAGTCTAAAAGATGAACCTCTCTGGAATCCATCTTCTTGCCCAGAAATGTTTGCATGTTGCACACGACTAGATGCAAAATCAGTTTATACATGCGCAAATGTATGTAAAGCTAGACGGCACGTTTGACACACCCGCCATTATCGGTATGGTGAGAACTTTTCAATGACAGTAGCATATGAGCCGTAAACAGTGAGAAAACTTGTATGCTTGTTACAAGTAAAACACGTATGCTGGATGCTGGTGAGGACACTTTCTGAGGATAGTTTTAACAAAACTACCTGTGGCGAGATTGTCAAACATAAATAACAGCTTGTTCTGCCACCCTGCCTGCAGAATGGCCGTGTTCAACCTTCTAGGACAAAATAAGGACAAGTTTATTCAGACTGAGCCAAATACGAGAATCAATCGTGTGTTTGGTACCGGTTCATTACAATTTTTGTTTTTCAATATGGAGGAAAACCTTGGCCTAAAAAAACTACAGAGAGAACTTCCAACTCCCCAGAAGTATTTTTGTCAAAATGTTCGATGGGGCGTAAAAAGCGACGCGATGACTCCTCCGGTCATCAGTAGGCCGTGCCGTGCTTCGCTAGGCCTGTGTACTGTCTTTGTCTGATATGTTTCGGTGGCCGCGTGCTCTAGGGTACGGCGTCTGGGCATTATCAGGAGAGTGGGTCCGCCCCAGTTTACTGTGCTGGTATTGTCACTCTCTGGCCGATGTGAACCAACGACATGTAGCAGGTCATTCGAAGGTCATTCATTCAACCATAGTCTGTACATACTGACTTTGGTACGTGATAAGTAAAATAGGGAAGATGGATGTACCGTGAGTCAATCAAAAGTGTCGATTCCAGTTGCTTGAATTTGAGAATGATGTGATAAAGTGATGCATGTATGAGCGACTTCTACAGGATAGTTACTTTTACTTACACTGGTGAAGTTGCTCCTAATGCATTCAAAGGAGCATGTTTTGACCAAGACAAACAGTTGCGGTGCCAGACTACTAGTAGCTTGCCGAGTGAAAAGTGGACAATCAGCCCAAGGATTGTACGCTTTAATGACTCAAAAGTTAATGCGTAACTTGTTAACCTGGGTCGATTATTTTCTAGATGTAATTTTGCATTGGGGAGATGTTAATTTATATAACGGTTTTTTGGGGGGCCCTTACCCGACGTATATATTAATAAACTCTGTATGCTCAGTGCTTGTCAGAGAGCTTGCGAGCTTGCCGGGGTCGGCTGGCGGGTCCGAGTCAGGTGAAGCAGCGGGTACCGTGAACTATTTTCAAGATGTATTTTTTTGTGGTCGATTATGTTCTTTCGGTTCGAAACAAGAAGAGTCAGCCAAGCTTTCAACAAAATTTGTTCCCATCCGCAAGACGAAGATTGGACAGAGTAATATCGAAATCGTCGCAGCCTGAATTTTGCCACACTCGCTCACGCATTCGATGTAGGCCTACTTTGTGTGGTTATTCCACATGGACCAAGGCCGCTTTTGCGGAAGGGCTTCGACTAATTACTACAGAGGAACGATATACAGACTGCTTCATGCCTTCAAACGTAATTCAGACATTGCACGTGCTAGGTCTGTTTCAAACGTCGAGCTTATGCCATGTCGAATAGAATTGAATTGAGCAAGACCTCAGCACGGCGCAAGCACGGCAGTGGTTTCAAACGCCGAACTTAATTCAGACAGCCCAGTCGAACTTAAATAAATCCATCATGGCGGACAAGCACGAAACGTGATTTTGCGATCTGTCAGCCTGAGTCAAAAAGAAAACGAATTGATCTTCGACGAGCAGTATCGAGGCCTTTTTATTTTCAAGGCCCGATGTTGTGGTTCCTGGCGATCTTGCAGTGACGTCAATAAAATATCACCCAAGTGAATAGTTCGATATAATTTGGGGGTCTTGTTGCGACATTCGGACAGTATTTCTAGTTTCAAAGGTCACCTTTTAATTTACTTTATCTCATTTCAAGCAGGAATTTGAGAAAGAAATAATGTAATTGAATCCCAAATCCCCTCGAGCTCCGTCTAGCAATCTGCCCCATGCGTTTCGAGAAATTTTCATTATAGTTGCCATGTTTGCTATTTGTTGGTGCGTTTGTTTGTCGATCATCATTTCTCAAGTCTACAATACGTTGTGAACATGCGCATTCCTAATTATCAATGAAGTTCAGGACCAACTTCAAATAGAAATTGTATTCGACTCGGCAGTAGCACGATGTTTGAAACCACGCCGTGCTTCTACCGTACTTAATGACATAAGCACGGTAGACCCTGTCGAGCCAAAATTATCTGCTGTGCCGAAATTTTATTTATTTTTCCTCTGAGGAAAACATGTTTTCTCTGATTTTATCTATTCAACTAAATATCAGAGTCATTTTTCTTCAGAGTTAAAGTATAACAAGCTAAATAGGTTTTTTCTGTTCATGCCAAGATACGAATTCTGAATATAGATTGCGTCATTCGGAAAAAAAGAAAAAACTAGGGGGAACCCTCGCCCTGTGTTCGTTGTGGCCATGCCATTGTTTGGCATGCACAAACAGTGGCTACATGCATTGTTTGTCCAGAATTCAGAATCGTATCTGGGCATGAACAGAAGAAAAAACATTTTAGCTTGTTATAAATGAGCTCTGAAGAAAAATGACACTGCGTTCGATTTGGATGCTTCCCATATTAATTTGCACTGATAAAATCAGAGAAAACATGTTTTCCTCAGAAGTGATCTTTAACACGTTTGTCGAGTGACTATTCACATTGGTGATGGTTTGTGTCGTTTAGCCTGAGGCAACCCCTTCAGGCTTCATTCCGTCACCTATCCCCTACATATTTTATCCACACAGAGAATTGTATCGAGTGTTCTCGAAATTCTGCGTGTTTTTAATCATGCGGCGGTCCCTGTGCCAAATGGGGGCGTGAACCCAACTCCGGAAATGCCTCAGTGCTCGCGTGCCCTGGAATACCGACTGCATGGTGTAATGTCCCCGCTGCGGTTACCCCAGTGAGACTTAAGTGCCTACCTGGCCCCCTGTGCAACGGCACGTGAGCTCGCGTGCCACGCTGCCTAGGTGTATTCAGGTGAGGTCTTTCCTTTTGTCCCATTGCCTCAATAGCTGCGAGTCCAAACCACCAATCTTTATCGCGAGCTTACGGAAGCGGCCTATTCATACAGAATTCATTGTGGAACCACGAAATACTTTATTCATATCTCGCCCTACAGTGGTTAGTTATTTGTCTGGCAGAGCTCGTTCGTTTTGGTCTTGTGTGAGTTTTTTTTTTCTACAAACACCGTTGGGCCACACTCTCACTCAGTTCAATCGAAGCCTTAGACATGGGAAAAGTTCGTTGCGCTATTTTCCCCGTCAGTGTGAATACAGTGGTAAATCGTTCATGCTATTTATAGTCTCTGCTTGCCGCAACTGATAGAAGAGCAACATGCAGACTCTAATCAGAAGCTGCAAAAAAACCCATAAATCACCGACTGTCGTTCATCATGAATGCCCTTTATTTCCTGAGGGGATCTCACTTAAAATGATGTACCAGAATCTCCGGAGTCTGGGAAGTTGGGCACTGAAACAGTATCCGCCATACACGCTTACGTTGAATTAAAATCCTGCCCTGATGTATGTATTCTGTTGCGTCAATGTTTGACATGATATGTCGATCCTTCCTGATTGATTATAAATCACTGTTTTCTTAAAACCTAATCGATTTATCCTGATTTTTTGATAATTCTTTTTGAATGTGTGGTTTTTTGAGTCGTGGTCACATTTCCTTTTCTCAACAAAAAAGTTCGTAACCATATCAATAATAAGTTTATCTTTTTCGTTGAAAGTTGGTATAGTCCTCGAGCAAGCTTATACAGGTGTGAATGACGTTGTCAAAGGAGCTGTTCGTTTGTCCACGAAGTTTGTGATGTTTTGTGAAGAGCTGAGGGTTCTCTACACCGTTCGCTGTCACCTCGAGTACTTTCGATTTCAAGATCATGCAAAGCTCAACAATCACAGATTTACAAAAACCGTATGAAGGCTATGATCCATCACAAAATCTTTGTTCAACATTCGGAATTTGTCACCGTATAAATAATTTTGACTCCCCTGCTGAGCTATTGAAACGCTGCTTCTCAAGTAATACATCACATCACAAAGCATGTCAGAAATCATTGGTATATGCAAGGGCTGGACCACCGCACACGTCGTGGGTTTCAAACCAATTTCAGTTCTGTCTAGGACGCGTCTATCAAACCGGTAGAATGACATACACTGTACAATTGTTCGTGTGAAAAGAGGCCGAAGTAAGACTACGTTGCTATTAAACTTAATGAAAAGCTGGGAAGAATGAAGAGGCTGTAGGGTTTGATAACGTGGTTTAAGGCAACCGTACGTAAAAGATTTGTTG